TGTTTTCAGGGACTGTAACAGGGGTCTGAATGCATTGATTAACGCCGCAACTATGCGAACATAGTCACCAATAAAAGGAATTTGAGTATTGGTGACTACGTTCGCCAAAAATTGCCATCGTTTCAATCGGCCATTTGCAGATTCTACTGCCACCTGATTTTTGTCACCAAACGTGATAAATTAGCCTCCTCCACAGAATGCTGTTTTTGCCCCTTTCCCAAAAAATATGGAGATTCTGATTTCAACTCAACTGATTTGATTATTTCTAATGAATCTCTAAATCCTCGGTCTAAAACTAAAATATTGTTACATTTTGCCCAATTTAAAATTCCCTTTCCCTCATTTGTTAAATGTGTATTAAGAATGGCTGTGTCATTATTTTTCTCATCTGCCAAATATGGTCCTAGGATCTCAACAATATATCCATCTGATGCCACTATCATCATCAGCTTTACCAAGGGACGACCTTTATACATACTGAAAGACCTCCTTTGAAATGTATGTTTAGAACTCTTTTGAATATAAATATATGTTTCATCAATCAGAAAAATCGCAGTCTCGTTTTTTCCAGAGGCTAGTAACTCTCTTGCAAATATAGTTGTGTGTTTTTCAATTACACATTTTCTTGAAATATGTTCAAAACCAAGATAATTTGGTACAAAGCATTTTATTAATGATTCCCTCGCTCGTTTAATGATTCTACAAATATAAGTACTTGTTTTAACATTAAACAAGGTCTTTAACAAACTACTCGAAAGTCCTGTTCGAAGTTTTACAAGTAGTATACCAATTTCTGTTCTAACAGAGTATTTTCTAGTTCTCGGCTTTTCAACTTGCAAACAAAGAAAATTAAATTGACTGCGAGTAATACTGTTAGATTTAAAAAATCGTCATCGAGATCAAGATTTTCAAAGTCAATTCTAGAATTTTCATTTTTTAGTATCAGTTGCCGACAACGGGACAGGTGCTCTAAGAGATCAGCTGAAGACACAGATGCTGTAGCCCGTTTGAGACGAAACGAATATTTTTGAAAATCTGTTTTCTTGATGGTCTTACTGTCGGCAAAATGGCAGATACAAGCACGTGCATTGTCATGTAAAATTACATTATACCTTATGAAAATATCTGTTTGTGCAATTTGAGGGATTCTCTTTAAGACCTTCCTTTGCATACCACAAAGAGAACAAAACCTATGTGATTTTGTGCCTAAATAAAATGTTGTTATACTGACATGACCCTCATTTTTATTTGAACACTTTAATTGCCCCCTATGGTAGCTTCTGTCACAAATGCAGTCGTTCTCCAAGACTTTTCTGCCTAAAATACTAGAAAGATTTTCCCTGTGTTGTGCATTTTTTATTCCCTTCAAAACCCGGTGCCTACCAAAAGGAGCTCTCCTATTACAGCATGTACAATTGAATGTTTTCGGCATGTTGAGTGATACAAACAAAATGCCAAGTATAAACCCTGAAAACTCTCTAACCTATCTATATATTCCCAAAACTTACCTTAATCTAACAATACAAGAAAAAAAAATGGAAGGTGAATTTGAAAACACAAATATCTATATTTTAAAGAAGCAAATGTCTAATACTGAATATAAATAACAAATAATGAATATTTTAGCAATATATGGCAGTAGCAACAGTAATTGGCAGAAGAAAATAATTCGATGTTGATCGATTGAAAATGCAACAGTTTGATTTGATCGCTTTCGACGAAATGCTGTTCGGAGCTAAAACCACGTGATTTATTGATTTTTTTGTATTCACAAGTTACCTGAGTCTACAAATCATGTGGTAAATTGGAATATTAAACAGGTCACAGTGAGGTCAATGACATGTAAATACCCATGTACACTGAAGGAAACGACCGGTGTTTTCTACCTTTTTTCAATAAGTTTACCCCGAACGCAGGCTTGCCCAAACTTCTCCCTTGAATATGTTGAATTTCCTATACTTACACACCTTCTGTCCTTTGGAGAAATTTGGGCAACAATGCGCTCACCATGTATTAGGACTTTAAAAATCGGAGTAACTTTGAATATCAATGGAGATTCGTGAATTTCAGTGACCCCTCTTACGAAACACTGCTTCGTTCTTTATTTTTACTGACTTTTAATTCCTGTAATTTCGCAAAGTTGTGATTTAGACATAGAAGAATCGCATTATTATATTCAGGGGGCTATTTTCAATACTTTATTTTTGCGCAATTTACCGGGGGCCACGTTTTGTACACTAAGTGTAATTATTCTTTCATGGTTCCCCCATGAGGCCTGAGGAGTTGGGCTTAATATATCAAAATTAATGCAATCTTTAAAAAATCTTTACTCCTGGACAACAAGCTGTCAGAGTTTTGGCATGGTTTTAATAAGCATTAAGCCTTCTACCAAAATTTTGAAATTCATGGCCCAGGGTAAGGGGCTCTGGTGCTAGGGCAGGGCTATGTAGATGATATATGTGATATATATGTTCTTAGAAAATTCTCTTCCCTAGGGCAGGGCTATGTAGATGATATATATATGATATATATATTCTTAGAAAATTCTCTTCTCTTCTCCTGGGTATTAAACAAACTGACTAAGTATATATTTATGATGAGAAAGGCTGCCTCTGCCAAAATTGTGAATTTCATGGCCCCTGGGTCAGGGGTTCTGATGTTAGGGCGGGGCTCTATTGATTATATATTGAAAAAGCTTAATTTCTTTGAAAATATTCTTTTCTGGTTCTGGTTATGAAGCAAAGAAACTAGGCGTATAGTTATGGTGAGCAAGAGTGTTTCTTCCATAATAGTGAGTTTCATGGCCTCTGGGTCAAATGTTCTGGTGTAAGGGTGGGGTTCAATTGATAATATTGTGAAAATGCATTAATTCTATTAAATAGTCCTGTCTGCTCCATCGTGTTGAGCAGATAAACAAAGTGCACAGTTATGATGAACAAGGATGCTTCTTACAAAAGTTTTGAGCTCATCTCGACAAAGTCGAGATGAGCTTATGCTATGCCCTCGGCATGGGCGTTGGCATTAGAGTCTGTGTCCCAGTTAAAGTTTTAGGAGCAGGTCCATTCCCAAGTAACTGTAAGCCCTATCTTGACCAAACTTGCATGGATGATGCATGTAGGGATGGACATTACCACACTTGCTTCGGATGCTGGATCTGACCTAGATTTTTCAGATGAGTGACCAGGTTAAAGTTTTTTGAGTAGGTCCATTCCCAAGAAACTTTAAGCCCTACCTTGACCAAACTTGCATGGATGATGCATCTAGGGATGGACACCACCACACTTGCTTCAGATGCTGGATCCAACCTAGATTTTCCAGATGAGTGACCAGGTAAAGTTTTTGGAGCAGCCCATTCCCAAGTAACTATAAGCCCTACCTTGACCAAACTTGCATGGATGATGCATCTAGGGATGGACACTACCACACTTGCTTCGGATGCTGGATATGAGCTAGATTTTCCAGATGAGTGACCAGGTTAAAGTTTTTTGAGTAGGTCCATTCCCAAGTAACTATGAGCCCTTCCTTGACCAAACTTGCATGGATGATGCATCTAGGGATGGACACTACCACACTTGCATCAGATGCTGGATATGAGCTAGATTTTCCAGATGAGTGACCAGGTTAAAGTTTTGGAGCAGATCCATTCTTAAGTAACTATAAGCCCTACCTTGACCAAACTTGCATGGATGATGCATCTAGGAATGTACACTAACCAACCTGCTTCAGATGCTGGATCCAACCAAGATTTTCCTCATGAGTGAATTTTAGCCATATTTTAACCATGTATCTACGAATGGACACTTCCAGACTTGCTTTGGATTCTAAATCTGACCTACATTTTCCAGATGAGTGACTAGGGAATTTTTTTTTGGAGTAGCTATATAATATTATGGCATGTTATGATTAAACTTGCATAGATGGTGCATCTAAGGATGAAAACTTCCGGACTTGCCTTGTTGGAACTGACCAAAATTTTCTTGATTAGTTAACAAGATAAAAGTTTTTTGAGCAGGTCTATTTCCAAGTAACTATAAGTTGTACTTCAACCAAACTTGCATGGATATTGATCTTGGGATGTACACTAACTAGAAATAAAATATGATGTGAAATTTGCCTTACTTGTAGATAAAATTCGTCGAGGTGCACTTTGTAATCTTTGATTACCTATGTTTAAAACTTGTGGTCCCAGGGTCAGGGGTTCTGGTGTTTCTTCAGGAAGTGGGGGACTCTATATTGATAATATAGTGGAAATGTGTTAATTCTTTGAGAGTTTCAACTAAGTGCATAATTATGATGACAAGGGTACCTCTTCCAAATTTGTGAATTTCTTGACTTAGGTCATGGGTTCTGGTGTTAGGGTAGGGCTGTGTTGAATCTTTAGTGAAATGCATTGTGTCTGTGAAATTCTTCTCTGCTTCTGGGCATATTGGAGGCAAACAGAGTAAGTTTTAATAAGCAAGGGTATTTTTACCAGAGTTTTGAACATCTGGACCATTGGGTCAAGTGTTCAGGTCCTGGGCAGGGTCATGGGTTCTGGTAATTTGTATTCTACTGAGAGAAGTTATTCCCCTTTGCCATTCACTTTTGATAACTAATCTCTGTAAATAATGTAGTTGAAAGGTTAATAGAGGAAGAGAATTATGCAAGAATTTTTATTGTATAATACACAAAGTACTTTCTTAGTTTTTATGATCAGGTAGACTTGTAAATAATAGATAAATAACTTATCTTTTTAAATTTTCTTCAAAGACCAAGAGAGGCCAATGTGAGAGGTTATAATATGGGGTTAAAAATAGTACAGAATCTTTAAGAGTTTGTTAATAGTCTGCATGGTAATAGTGATACATGGCTGACAGATTAGAACTTAAGATAGAAACCCCCCCCCCCCCCCCCTTCCCCAGATCTGCACATGATCTTTTTTTTTCCTGAAGCAAGGGACACAAATTCTTTGAATTACCTTGTTCTCTGAATAAGCTTGTTGTTATCTATGTCTTTAACAGCATACATGGCACCCGAAGTGATCACAAGAAATGCATCTCAAGGTCATGGTAGAGCAGCTGACATTTGGAGCCTGGGATGTGTGGTAATAGAGATGTCAGCAGGGAAGGTAGGTTTGTGTATAAGAGGACTCTGCATCACAAAATTTCCTTTAGTTCTCTATGCTTATTTGCAGCAGCATTGTCAGGTACCATATATACTCATCTATAAGTCGGTTGGCCTATAAGTCAGTTGTATTTTTTAAGCTTAAATTAGAGAGATTGACCCACTAAAATACCAGTCTTTTTATAACTCACGTTTAATTGAATTTAAAGAGTTTTGGACCAAAGTTTAACTCCCAAAAAACTGACTTATAGGCGAGTGTATACGGTACAAGAAAATCACCCTGGGGACTGGTATTTGGACTTCCCTTGCAGAAAATCTGCTTATCTTTCCTCAGTACAATTTTAACATAAAAGCTACCATTAATGGTCCTTCCTTTGGATGTAGGTACATATCTGTAAATGTATTACTGGAGCTCTCTAGTAAAACAAAAACTTGTCTTAGACCTGTTTGGAGCTGTGGCTTCTTTTTGCAATGATAGGATGACAGATTCCTCTCTTGATTCCACATTTTATTATTGATCTTACATTTGGGCTATAAAGAGTGCACCCAAGTTTTGTCACCCATCATGCAGGTTTATCATACCCTCTTTTGTTAAAATGTTCATATTTTGATAGAACCTTGGCACATTTTACACATGATTTCTTATAGGCATCTGTAAGGAGATAATGCTCTCATTTGACAGAAATATTTTTGAGATTCATTTCATTTGTCAAAACTGTCAACTGTTGTGGTGATGAAATGTTTAGTGTCTTAGCAATTCCTTTCTGTGTAAATCTCGCATTTTCAGGTATTATGTTGCTCACAACATCAATAAATTTTGGTGACTCTACAGATCTAAATGAACGAGTTTGTCTGGGATCTTTTAACTCTTCCACTTTAAAATTTTGAATTTTCAAATCCACCTGCAGGAATTCCAGTCTGAAAGAAATACTACATGAAATGCTAGTCTTTCCAGATAACAAAACCATATCTTCATTATGGATTCTTTGGCAATTTTTGTTTTCACATAAGCCCTCGTTTTCATTTTCTTGACAGATACCATTTTTAAGCAGTTTTTAGCTCAGTGAAGTGACCATGCTTACTTTAAAAATGAATTTCTTTGCAAAGACAGTAGGAAAAAAACGTGATTTTTAGTGATAAGGAGTTCTTAATTAGAACTTTTTCAAATGTGAAAAAAAAAAAAACTGCTTCTGAATCAGCATTTATCATGAGAAACCGTATGTTGCATTACTTACTGAAATTATAGGTGTCACCATAAAAGAATGAATGTGGATATGTGTCATAATGACTAGTATATGACAGTGTCCTTGATATTGACTTAAAGAAGAAACACAGGCTTTTGTTTACTAAAATAACATGTTTATAGTGAACTTATGCATTGTTCTTAGATCCTCTCTAGAAAGAAGCCAATTATGGCTTTGTGTGAATATAAAGTGGTTTTGGCTTTCCATGGAGGTTTGCTTCAACCATGTATTACCAAACATATTTATAACAGAGAAACATAAAATGCTTTAATATTGGAGAAGGACAGATATTTTATAATGCAACACATAAAAATACTCAATACAGGTAACTCTTGATGGCTCGAACTTCGATCTCTCGAAGTTTTTGATGGCTCAAAGTGAGTCTCCAGTCCTGATTTTTGCCATGTATGTATTATCTATTGGAATTTAACCTGGAAACCTCGAAGTGGCTATGTCTTCGCAAGCGTTATGTTATTAACACCTTTATACCTGGACATTAAAATGGACCCAGGCATTAGACACGGGACCAGAGGAACAGGATGTTTATTCAGGTGACACTTGTACTCCAAGGTGTCAATTGACTGATAATTGATCATATTTTGCCTATCTGCTCATAAGATAATTAACATTGATTGTTTACGATAATTTGGAGATGCTGTGAAAAGTAGAAATTGATTATGAGGCAAGATACTAATTTTGAGTCTGTGTCAAATTATATGCAAAATAAAAATGCAGAAACTATGCATCAATGTCAATATTAGGACTTTTGCAGAACAGATACTTACAGAACTGATTTCGAATTTTGGTATTATTAAACATATAGAATGTTTATGCCACAACGCTATAAATTCATGTAACTAATGCGTAGTTTGATGTTCGTCTTACATAGAATAAATAAGTATTGATGATATACAATTTTTGCTTTATTCAGTTTTAAAAAATATTCACAATAAAAATGCAAAGAAGTTTTGTTGTTTAATTAAAATCATGTGTGTAAGATTAAGCACTTGAAATAAATGAAAACCATCACATCCGGTAAGACTAATTTTAAAACTGTCAATCAACCCGGAAAATTCCAGACTCTTGAAAACTCGAACGCTTGATCTCTCGAAGTTTTTCCTCGGTCCCGCAGACTTTGAGGTATTGAGAGTTACCTGTACAAAATAAATTATTATTAGATTTTGCCTGGTTGTCAGACTGTTATAGCTCATTAGTCAAAAATTTATTTTTGAATAATGTAGAGACCTTGGCATGAGCTGGAGAACAGTGCACAGATCATGTTCAAAGTTGGCATGGGAGGGAAACCCCAGATTCCTGAAAGTTTGAGTGCAGAGGGTAAAGATTTCCTGGTTCAGTGCTTTAAAAGTGATCCAACAGAGAGGAGTACTGCAGCAGAACTTTTAGATCATCCTTTTGTAAAGGTTTGTTCTGTGTCCTTCAAGTCTGGTCTGAGTCACTTGAGTAACCTATTCTTATTATTTGCTTCATCATGCAATATAAACTTTTAAATAATTTTATCTTTTATTATTAACTTAATTTTATAGTCTGTAGCATTTTAAGGTAACCCCCTCTACAGTAAAACACATTAGTGGATTGCCAGGGGTGAACAATTTTGATTTGTCATAATTTAAAAAAAAAAATATTATATTATGGCCTCAAGCAGAGCTCAAACATTATTTAGCCAGCATCCCATCGAAATCGCCACTGGAATTTACACAACCAAAGGTGTCAGTGGATGCATCCGCAAAAGAAAATACAATAACAACATATGAATTTCCTTGAAAATCCTCTCAGTGAATAATTTGAAAGTAAAATTGCATCAATTATATCTACAATTAATTCTGTTACAAAACACAGATACTCTGTTAATTTTCACACAAGAAAAATGTGACAGTTATTTTGGGTGAATTTCTAAGGAAAGCAGTGTGTCGAATGACATGAACAACAATTTGGAAGGATAACCATGTAAAAGAAACAATCCACTAGGTGGTAAATTAATCAATACCAATACTAGAAGACTAAATATATTGAATTTTATAATTTCAACCTTTTACAATTTTATAACCAATTTTATCATAAAAACCAAAGTTATTGACCTCTATTACTGTATTTCTCCATTTCCTACATTTTGTAGTATACGTAGTACCCCATACCACACTCAATCATAACTGGTATATGTAGTCGTAGAAGAGACATGGTTGTAGTTTTGATGCATCCACTAAAACAATATTTAGACATTGACAATTGGAATAATATTATATCATTAAATCTTTCATAGTTTTTAGCTCACCTGAGCTGAAGAACTCGTGAGCTTTTTTGATCACTCGTTGTCCGTCCGTCCATCTGTAAACTTTTCAAATTTCAACTTCTTTTCAAGAACCATTGGGCCAATTTTAAAGCATCCTTAAGTGCCCTTACAAAAGGGAGATAATCAAGAAAAAGACAGAAATAGGGTGGGGTCATTAAAAAAATCTTCTTCTTAAGAAACACTGAGCCAGAAAAGCTGAAACTTACTTGGAAGCTTCCTGAGATAGTGTAGATTCTAAATTGTTTAAATCCTGGCCCCCAGGGGAAGAGTGGGGCCACAATAGGGAATCAAAGTTTTTTTCATTGAAATATATAGGAAAAAACTTTGAAAATCTTCTCAAGTACCACTTGGCCAGAAAAGCTGAAACTTGAGTGGAAGCTGCTCGAGGTAGTGAAGATTCTAAATTGTTCATATCATGGCCCCTTGGTGTAGGGTGTGGCCACAACAGGGAATCTGAAACTTTTGTGGAGGCCTCCTGAGGTAGTGAAGATTCTAAATTGTTCATATCATTTCCTCGGGGGAAGGGTGGGGCTACAATAGTAGGAAAAAACTTTTAAAATCTTCTTCTCAAGTACTACTTGGCCAGAAAAGCTGAAATTTATGTGGGATCTTTCTGAAGTAGTGAAGATTCTAAATTGTTCAAATCAAGGCCTGCAGGGGTAGGATGGGGACACAATAGGAAATCATGGTTTTTTAGCTCTACTGGTCAGAGTTTTATCAACGGCAATATTGATTGTCTTTAAATTGCTGCAATTAATTATATGTGGCACAATAAAATTTCTGTCAATAAGAAAATTAAGGTTTCATATTAAATTGACTTATTATTTTTTTTTTCTCCTTATTTTCAAGGTCCAAGTTGAAGAACAAGATGGAGAGACTTGATAGTTCCATTGAAGATTTATACAGTTAATATTTTTTTTTTGACATTATATGCCATTCCTGTAGAAAATTAGCATAACCTTGAAGTTTGTTATATTGATTAATTGTTAATATTTGTTATACCTAAAAGGTATACACAAAAGAACACAATATTTTCTTGTTATTAAAAACAAGTATAAATATTCAGCAAGTTTTGAGTTCTGTTATATGATAAACCAAAGTTTAAAAATGGTTTGGATGAGGAACTGTGATCAGCAATTTTGAATTACTTCCAACCCCATCCAGTATTTCCCAGATGTCAGAAATACTATACAGTAAAACTCACAGAGAAGTCTTGGGAACTTAAGGATTTGCATTACTAACTTCTTAATTATACCCCACGCAACAAGTTGCGTGAGGTATAATGTTTTTGACCCGTCCGTCAGTCAGTCAGTCAGTCAGTCAGTCAGTGTGTCAGTCAGTCAGTCAGTCCGTCAGTCCTGTTTTTTTGTCAGCGCAACTCCTCATAAACCGCTGCACAGAATTTCGTCAAACTTTGCAGATATTTAGGACACAATGTGTAGATGTGCATATTACCAGGAAATTCCGATTCCTTTATTTTTTCTCGGAATTTCGGCACTTTTCAACTTAGATTTTTGGTCATATCTTGAATATGGAGATGAACAGTTTGTCAGCGCAACTCCTCATAAACCAATGCACAGAATTTGGTCAAACTTTGCAGATATTTAGCACACAATGTATAGATGTGCATATTACCAGGAAATTCCGATTCCTTTATATTTTCTTGGAATTTCGGCACTTTTCAACTTAGATTTTTGGCCATATCTTCAATATAAAGATGAACAGTTTGTCAGCACAACTCCTCTTAAACCGCTGCACAGAATTTGGTCAAACTTTGCAGATATTTAGAACACAATGTGTAGATGTGCATATTACCAGGAAATTCCGATTCCTTTATTTTTCTGGGAATTTCAGCACTTTTCAACTTAGATTTTTGGCCATATCTTGAATATAGAGATGAACAGTTTGTCAGTGCAACTCCTCTTAAACCGCTGCACAGAATTTGGTCAAACTTTGCAGATATTTAGCACACAATGTATAGATGTGCATATTACCAGGAAATTCCGATTCCTTTATATTTTCTGGGAATTTCGGCACTTTTCAACTTAGATTTTTGGCCATATCTTGAATATAAAGATGAACAGTTTGTCTGCGCAACTCCTCTTAAACCGCTGCTCAGAATTTGGTCAATCTCTGCAGATATTTAGTACACAGTGTGTAGATGTGCATATTACCAGGAAATTCTGATTCCATTATTTTTTCTGGGAATTTCGGCACTTTTCAACTTAGGTTTTTGGCCATATCTTGAATATAGAGATGAACAGTTTGTCAGCACAACTCCTCTTAAACCGCTGCACAGAATTTGGACAAACTTTGCAGATATTTAGTACACAGTGTGTAGATGTGCATATTACCAGGAAATTCCGATTCCATTATTTTTGCCTTAAGAGTTTTGCCTTTTATTGAAGAAACTTTCCAGCTAGGTAATAAGAAACTCCACTGGAATCAGCTTTTTATAATGAAATTCTATGTGAAATATTTTATGACCTTAAAAGACCCCTATTGATTTTGAGATCAAAATATTAATGGTTTAACACAAACACACACTCACACACACACCATCTTCGATAGTTCTCTCCCCCCCCCTCCCTTCAAATTGGTGTGCTTTGCCTTAAATAATTTCATAAGTACAGTATATAAACAGATTCATATGACTACATCATAATTTTGTTTCCATCAATTATTTAAATGTGTAAACTGTCATGTGTTGGACATGGACTTACACTCATTAACAAATCGAAATCACTGAGGAATTTAAATAACAGTTTGTCAGCATAATTCCGGCACTGAATTTCCTGAAACTTTGTAGGTATTTCAGAATAATGTATAGATTTGTATATTACCAAGAAATTTTGATTCCATTATTTATCTAGAAACTTCAGCCCAGTTAAATTTGTAACATACAAAGATTTTAATGTCCTTATATGCAAGAAGTTTTGATGTGATGATTTTTTGCAAGTAGTGCCCCTTTTTTGAATTATACTGTGTATTTAAAATGCACTGTGCCATTCATTACGTGTTGCATTGTCGAGTTTTGGGGAAGCGTGGGGTATGTGAGCTTGCTCACTTTTTCTTTCATTTGTTATGTCAATAACAATAAACCTATTGCTTTTAAAATGTAGAGATATGAGGATATTGACCTATATAAAATCCACTGTTGATTTTTGCTTGTCAATTAAAAATAAATATGTATTTGAACAAGCATTCTGAGAGTATTGCATTAGCAATACTAGTCCCCTACCGGCAAGTGTAATCTGGTTCCCGTTAAGAATTGAAAATGCCATAATTCCGTCAAAAATTAATGAAGCGGGACGAAATGCAAACTTGATCTATAACTAATCAAGGTAAAGCCACATACCAAAAATCAACTCAATATCTACAAGCGTTTAGAAGAAAATTGCGGAAAACCCGTAAAAATTGAAAAGGCCGTAATTCCGTCAAAAATCAATGAAGCGGAACGAAATGCAAACTTGATCTGTAACTCATCAAGATACACTCACATACCAAAAATCAGCTCAATATCTGCAAGCGTTTGTGGAAAAAAGTGCGGAAAACCAAGTGGGACAGACTGACAAACAGACAGACAGACAGACGGACGGACAGACTCAGAGGAAACCTATAGTCCCCTCCGGTTTCACCGGTAGGGGACTAATAAGATACATGTGAATATTCATTTAATGAATTTGTACATGTAGTTTATAGTTTACCTGAGCCAAAGGCTCAATTGAGCTTTCAAATCAAAAGGTGTCAAGCATCTGTTATGTGACTGTTGTCTTTAAACACATTTTCAACTTCTAAGAACCACTGACCAGAACTTGCCATAAAGAATCTTAAAATTTTGATGGCTTTCTTTTAAAAATCTCTTTCTCCAGAACCACTTGTCAAGAAAAGATGAAACTTATATAAATTCAGCATTACGTAATGTGGATTCAAAATTATACAACTTATGAATGCAATGGGTAGGGTGGGGACAAAATGGGTGGAGATTGTTTTATATACTAGGAATATATAGAAAAAAAAACTATAAAAATCTTCCCAAGATCAGCAAGGCCATGGTAAGCTTTTTTATACAGAAGAATTGACAGGTTTTTAGCTCACCTGAGCTGAAAGCTCAAGTGAGCTTTTCTGATTACCTGTTCTGATCACCTGTTGTCCATCTGTCCGTCCGTTAAACTTTCCTTATTTTCAACTTCTTCTCAAAAACAACGGGGCCAATTTGAACCAAAGTTGGTACAAAGCATCCTTAGGTAAAGGGAAGTTAAATTCTTAGAATGAATAGCCAAGCCCACTAACAAGGGGAGATAATCAAGAAAAGGCAGAAATAGAGTGGGATCATTAAAACATCTTCTTCTCAAGAACCATTTGGCTGGAAAAGCTGAAACTTAATTGGAAGCATCCTGGGGTAATGTAGATTCTAAATTGTAAAAATCATGACACCCGGGGATAGGGTGGGGCCACAGTAGGGAATCCATGTTTTATATTGAAATAAGAAAAGCTGAAACTTATGTGAAAGCATCCTGGAGTAGTTTAGATTTTTAGCTCACCTGAGCTGAAAGCTCAAGTGAGCTTTTCTGATCACCCTTCGTCTGTCCGTCCGTCTGTAAACTTTTCACATTTTCGACTTCTTCTCAAGAACCACTCAGCCAATTTTTACCAAACTTGGTACAAAGCATCCTTGGGTAAAGGGGAGTTAAAATGAAGGGCCAAGTCTTCTTCAAAGGGAAGATAAAAAAATACAAAAATTAAAAAATCTTCTTCTCAAGAACCACTGGGCCAGAAAGACTGAAACTTATGTGGAAGCATCCCTAGGTAGTGTAGATTCTAAATGGTTCAAATCATGACCCTCGGGGGTAGGGCGAGGCCATAATAGGGAATCCAAGTTTTACATTGAAATATGTAGTAAAAATCTTTTAAAATCTTCTCAAGAACCACTGGGCCAGAAAGGCTGAGACTTAGGTGGAAGCATCCTTGGGTAGTGTAGATTCTAAATTGTTCAAATCATGACCCCCGGGGATAGGGCGGGGCCACAATAGGGAATCCAAGTTTTATATTGAAATATGCAGAAATTTTTTTTAAAAATCTTCCTCTCAAGAACCATTGGGCCAGAAAGGCTGAAACTTACGTGGAAGCATCCTTGGGTAGTATAGATTCTAACTGTTTAATTCATGACCCCTGGGGGTAGGGTGGGGCCACAATAAGTACTATAAGTACTACAAGGGGGGTGGGAGAAATCCGGTGAAAAACAGTAAGGTCAAAGTTACTCAGGTGAGCACTGTGGTCCATGGGCCTCTTGTAAATTGTTAAAATCATGACCCCCTTAGGAAGGACGTGACCACAATAGGGAATCCAAATTTTACATTGAAATATATAAAAAAAAAATCTTCTCAAGAACCACTTGGCCAGAAAAGCTGAAACATACATGTATGTGGAAGCATCCTGGGGTAGTGTAGATTCTAAATTGTAAAAATCATGACCCCCCAGGGGTAGCGAGGGGCCACAGTAGGGAATCCATGTTTTATATTGAAATAAGAAAAGCTGAAATTTATGTGGAAGCATCCTGCAGTAGTTTAGATTTTTAGCTCTTCTGAGCCAAAGGCTCAAAGAGCTAATGCTATGGCCATTTGTGTGGTGTGTGTAAACTTTTTAGAATATGGGCCATAATTCAAGAACCCTTTTATTAAATTACTGTCAAATTTGTCACAGGGTATCTTTGGCCCAAGGGCTCCCATTTGTACTAAAACTAGGATTGTGACCCTTAAACAAGGGAAGATAATTAGGAAAATAGAAACAAAAGTACTGGTTGCTAAAAAATCTTTTTCTCAAGAACCACGGCGCAGATTATTGCCACTTGTACAAAAGGATGAGGATATGTTGTAGATTAAAATTTGCACAGGAATTTACCCTGGGGCAAAGGGCGTGGTCTCAAGATCACTTCAAAGTTGACCAAAAATTACATTTTATTAAAATGTTGATATTTTGCTTACTATAAGGACTAGGATCATCAAATCTTGTCAGTTGATGCATCTAAGGACCTCATATCGTTGACTCAAAAGTAGGTCACGGTGACCT